TGTCATCATCACACATGACACAGTGATTGGTGTACATGAACCTACACAGCTTGTGTCATCATCACACATGACACAGTGATTGGTGTACATGAACCCACACAGCTTGTGTCATCATCACACACAACACAGTGATTGGTGTACATGAACCCACACAGCTTGTGTCATCATCACACATGACACAGGGATTGGTGTACATGAACCTACACAGCTTGTGTCATCATCACACATGACACAGTGATTGGTGTACATGAACCCACACAGCTTGTGTCATCATCACACATGACACAGTGATTGGTGTACATGAACCCACACAGCTTGTGTCATCATCACACACAACACAGTGATTGGTGTACATGAACCCACACAGCTTGTGTCATCATCACACATGACACTGTGATTGGTGTACATGAACCCACACAGCTTGTGTCATCATCACACACGACACAGGGATTGGTGTACATGAACCTACACAGCTTGTGTCATCATCACACATGACACAGTGATTGGTGTACATGAACCCACACAGCTTGTGTCATCATCACACATGACACAGTGATTGGTGTACATGAACCCACACAGCTTGTGTCATCATCACACACAACACAGTGATTGGTGTACATGAACCCACACAGCTTGTGTCATCATCACACATGACACAGTGATTGGTGTACATGAACCCACACAGCTTGTGTCATCATCACACATGACACAGTGATTGGTGTACATGAACCCACACAGCTTGTGTCATCATCACACATGACACAGTGATTGGTGTACATGAACCCACACAGCTTGTGTCATCATCACACATGACACAGTGATTGGTGTACATGAACCCACACAGCTTGTGTCATCATCACACATGACACAGTGATTGGTGTACATGAACCCACACAGCTTGTGTCATCATCACACACAACACAGGGATTGGTGTACATGAACCCACACAGCTTGTGTCATCATCACACACAACACAGTGATTGGTGTACATGAACCCACACAGCTTGTGTCATCATCACACATGTCACAGGGATTGGTGTACATGAACTCACACAGCTTGTGTCATCATCACACATGTCACACGGATTGGTGTACATGAACCCACACAGCTTGTGTCATCATCACACATGTCACAGGGATTGGTGTACATGAACCCACACAGCTTGTGTCATCATCACACATGTCACAGGGATTGGTGTACATGAACCCACACAGCTTGTGTCATCATCACACATGACACAGGGATTGGTGTACATGAACCTACATAGCTTGTGTCATCATCACACATGACACAGTGATTGGTGTACATGAACCTACACAGCTTGCCATGAGACAGAAAGTGTTAACTTATATCCTTTCAGGTAATTTTTTAACACATTGTAAACTATTATCAGTGATGATGACTGTAGACATGATGTGTTTCTACTGTAGGCACCACGTAAAGTTGCTAAACTTCCAGCCACCGGGAAACCACATGTAGAAGATGAGGATGATGAAGATGAGGGTCATTTTGACCCAACTTTACAGAGAACTGGCAGGTGAGTAACTAGTTCAGTTCCTTCTCTTTCACACACTCATGCACGCTGGTTGGTATATGCCTGCTCAGCCACACACTAAAACCAGCTGTTTTTGAAGTCTGGTCATAGTTGTAGATTCACAGTCGTTAGTTGCACTATCCAGTGGTTTTCAACACGAAAGGGTGGGATGGAGGGGGATGGGAGTTCAAGGGCGGGCCTCAAGTGGTTTTCTTATTCTTCTTCTTCTTCTTCTTCTTCTTCTTCTTCTTCTTCTTCTTCTTCTTCTTCTTCTGCTTCTTCTTCTTCTTCTTCGCGTTCACCAGCTGTAAACTCTGGTGGAAAGTTCTGGTTGTTCATCCACTTCTGGACTGCAGTCCTGTTCTAGAACCTGAGTGTTGCTTGTGCATCTGTTTTACAGATCTGACTCATTTGTATGCAGACTGCTGGTTCCTTGCACAGACTTCAAAGGAAGCTCTCAATTAGTTGAATTTTATGACATGCTTTTGGGTAGGCAGTGGGTCTATTCTTGTTTTCCCTATAATGGGGCCCGGAACCCACACGGGGATCAAGTAGTTTTGAAACTGACAGCATTTGTTTTTTGTAATAATCTGTTATACTAACATTGTTAATCTTCCACACACACACAGATTGTTTGGTGGTTTGATTGCTGACATCAAGAGGAAACTACCATGGTATATAAGTGACTTCAAGGATTCACTACATATCCAGTGTGTGGCCTCTGTCATATTTTTGTACCTGGCAACCTTAACACCCAATGTGACATTTGGTGGCCTGTTAGGACAAGCAACAGACCAGTATATGGTAATAATTTTAATACAATGAATCATCATCATAAACCACTTCTGCCATTAAGCACCATGTTGTCGAATAATTTGTGACCCAGTGCACATTGGCTGGTACCAGCTATTGTCATGCCATGAGGGTGTAAAGTCTCTTCTTTACTGTTGTCGATCCATATTTTTCGTGGTCGTACTCTTGTTCTTGTACTCTTGTTCTTGTAGATGATTATGTAGTGTCCATGATGGTATCTGATAAATATTTGAATTTAATAAGGTTGATTTAAATATGTTAGGCAATGAAAATATGAACCATTTGTATGACTGTAACTAATTTTATACTATGGCTTATTTGTGAACAGTCTGGACGAGTATAATTTATCCTTTCATCAACTAGTTACCATCCCACCTTCACACAGATCTCTTTGAGGTCCTTTTTATTTGCTATTTTTGTAGTCAGTATTAAATAAATAAAAGTAATTGATAAGCATAATATCAAATAGAGACAGAGAAAAAGAGAGAGAATCTATATTCCCATTTATAACCCACATAAGTTGAAGAGGTTTTTTGTTTAAATTAATACTACTTCTACTTTCTGTGAATCTGCTAAAAGGTTTTGGACTCTCAAGTCAGACACATGAAATGTTCATGTTGCCTGAAGTGGTCAAGTGGGCTTGCATCTCAAAAATTTGGAGACTTGTTTACCTAGTATAAAAGTACCATCTTAAGAACGAGGTGCATGTAGAGACTTGTCTACCCAATATAAAAGTACCATCTCAAGAGTAAGGTGCGTGTAGAGACTTGTCTACCCAATATAAAAGTACCATCTCAAGAGTAAGGTGCGTGTAGAGACTTGTCTACCCAATATAAAAGTACCATCTCAAGTGTAAGGTGCATGTAGAGACTTGTCTACCCAATATTAAAGTACCATCTCAAGTGTAAGGTGCGTGTAGAGACTTGTCTACCCAATATAAAAGTACCATCTCAAGTGTAAGGTGCGTGTAGAGGCTTGTCTACCCAATATAAAAGTACCATCTCAAGTGTAAGGTGCATGTAGAGACTTGTCTACCCAATATAAAAGTACCATCTCAAGTGTAAGGTGCGTGTAGAGACTTGTCTACCCAATATAAAAGTACCATCTCAAGTGTAAGGTGCGTGTAGAGACTTGTCTACCCAATATAAAAGTACCATCTCAAGTGTAAGGTGCATATAGAGACTTGTCTACCCAATATAAAAGTACCATCTCAAGTGTAAGGTGCATATAGAGACTTGTCTACCCAATATAAAAGTACCATCTCAAGTGTAAGGTGCGTGTAGAGGCTTGTCTACCCAATATTAAAGTACCATCTCAAGTGTAAGGTGCATGTAGAGACTTGTCTACCCAATATAAAAGTACCATCTCAAGTGTAAGGTGCGTGTAGAGGCTTGTCTACCCAATATAAAAGTACCATCTCAAGTGTAAGGTGCATGTAGAGACTTGTCTACCCAATATAAAAGTACCATCTCAAGTGTAAGGTGCATGTAGAGACTTGTCTACCCAATATAAAAGTACCATCTCAAGTGTAAGGTGCGAGTAGAGACTTGTCTACCCAATATAAAAGTACCATCTCAAGAGTAAGGTGCGAGTAGAGACTTGTCTACCCAATATAAAAGTACCATCTCAAGAGTAAGGTGCGTGTAGAGACTTGTCTACCCAATATAAAAGTACCATCTCAAGTGTAAGGTGCGTGTAGAGACTTGTCTACCCAATATAAAAGTACTATCTCAAGAGTAAGGTGCATGTAGAGACTTGTCTACCCAATATAAAAGTACCATCTCAAGTGTAAGGTGCATGTAGAGACTTGTCTACCCAATATAAAAGTACCATCTCAAGTGTAAGGTGCGTGTAGAGACTTGTCTACCCAATATAAAAGTACCATCTCAAGAGTAAGGTGCGTGTAGAGACTTGTCTACCCAATACAGAATCCAGGCCCCAGTCTCTTCCATGGTGTGACTCTTATACCACTGTCTAAAAGCCGTGAAAACTTAAACAGTTTAAATTTTGTTTTAAAGAGTGCCGTGGGAAGCAAACCTTGATACAATGAGAATTGTGAAATGCATTCACTAACATTTAAACAACAGACCCTCATGCAGAGAGACATAAGGAGGTAATGATTTAGCACAACACATGCAGGTTGGATGACAGGAGATCTAAGGTTTTTAGGTGCTTTATTGTCAGCTTACGTAAGGCTGCCAATGTCACAAGGAGAGACAGAGTTCGAAACGAGAACATTAGATCAATTGTAGGAACCACACCATGCCTGCAATACATAAAGAAGCAACAAATAGAGTGGTTTGGCCACTTGATGCGAATGCAAACTGACCAACTGCCTCTACGAGCATACAACGAACAACACTACTGCCCTAGAGCAAGAGGCAGACCGAGAGTACGATGGATAGACAATATATCAGAGATCCTGAGGCAACACGGACTAACAACAACACATGCAACACACCTGGCTCAGGATAGAAAACTGCGACTCCCCACTACGCTGTGAGGCAATTGTGGACAAGACAAGACAAGACAAGATTGTCAGTAGACTCCGGCCGAATGTCCGGAGGAAGCCTGTGAGATTAGATGTAGATCTCTCAGGACTGTGTTGAACCAGACAACTCAGTCACATGATGTTGTGTGTTTCACCTTCAGGGAACCATGGAGTGTATCCTGACAGCTTCCATTGTTGGAGTTTTGTTTGCCCTCTTCGCTGGGCAGCCACTGAACATTCTGGGAAGCACTGGTCCCATGTTGGTGTTGGAGATGATTCTCTACAACTTTTGCAAGTAAGCATCTCTCTTAGTCTTGTGCTGTCTCATTATTTATGTGTTAGTTGTGTTGTTTCACATTAATTATATCTTAATTGTGTTGTTTCACATTATTTTATTTATGTTGTTTCACATTATTCATGTGTTGTTTATGTTGTTTGTATTAAGTCTGTGTTAGCTATGTTGTTTCACATTTTCTTTTCTGTGTTAGTTGTGTTGTTTCAAATTTGTTTCTGTATTAGTTATGTTGTTTCATAAAGATTCTGTGTTAGCTGTGTTGCATCACATTTCTTTCGGTGTTGTGTTGTTTCATGTTTTTCTTTCTTTCTGTGTTAGCTATGTTATGTTTCACGTTATTTCTTTGTTAGTTGTACCTCTCAAGCAGACATAATCTGAGTTTGAAGGAAACCCTTTCTACATTGGATTTCCTTCGGTAGCAGTTTATTTCTTGGAGGAGGTGTGGTCAGGCCTTGATTATTTTCAGTCCTCGTCGTCCTGCACCACCACAGGCAGTGGTTCACCCCTGCCTCTTCCCCGTGTGGGTTCCAGGGCCCTGTTATAGGTAAAACAAGAATGTACCCACTGCCTACCCAAAAGCATGTCGCAAGGTTAGACTAATTAGGAGCTTCTTTCAAAGTCAGAGTGCATCTGCCTGAGAGGCAAGGAACCACCAGTCTGCACACACATGAGTCAGATCTGTAAAAACGGATGCACACGCAACACTCAGGTTCTCAAACAGGACTGTACACATAAGTGGCTGAACAACCAGAACTTTCCTCCAGAGTTTTCAGCTGGTGAACGCAAAGAAGAAGAAGAAGACCCCCTGCCTCTCTATACTTTACATTTTTCTCTAGCTTACTTTACTAATTTGTTTTTGTTGCAGAGAACAAGAACTGGATTTCCTACCGTTCAGAGCATGGATTGGGTTGTGGACTGCTTTTCTTCTGTTGTTGATAGTAGCCTTTGACCTTTCTGCCTTAGTGAGATACATCACGAGATTCACAGAGGAGAGCTTTGCCTGCCTCATCGCTGTCATATTTATTGCTGAAGCTTTCAAGAAACTTTTGGGTAAGTATAACTTCTTTTAGGAAAAAAATTCTTGCTTGCTTCATAGAGCCACCAATTTTAACATGGCTGTGAATCCTGGACTGTTAATTAACAGGCTAAACAATTTCTTGAGGCCCTTGTGATGTGGTTTTACAGAAAAATCGTTAGAATTTCTTGGACAGCCAAAAAAGGGCAACCCAGATGCTTGAAAGGCGATGGTTAAAAGACAACTTGTCACAAATATCATAAAGAGGCAGTTATCATTTTTTGAATATGTTATGAGAAGAGGAAAACTGTAATATGTGTTGACAACTGGAAATGTCTGTAGAAAGAGAGACAGAAAGAATATGAGAGAAGATTCTTGACAGTCTTTTGCCATTTCATGCAAGGCTGTCAACACATGAACTGATACATGCAGTTGCAGATCACAGATTGTCAAGAGGTATGATCGCCCACACCAGTCGGCAAGGCACTTGATGATGATAGCTTCTACTTCTTCTCCTCCTCCTCCTCCTCTGTCTCTTTTTTTGTTATTAGTTTTAGGCTTCTCCCCTGTCTCTTGTTTCAGACCCTTCTCCAGCATCTTTGCAAGGCATACCCAGTCATCCAAGACATGGAAATGGGTCCATTACCTTACAACACAACTTAATCACTGATTAACTGACTTTAATTTCCATTTTCTTTGAGTTACTTCTCTTTCTTCTTTGATCCTCCTGTAAGAAAACTTATATCAAGAGGCTGGTAGCCTTTATGAAAGCTATGGCTCAATCCATTTCTCCTCGTATACCATATAGCTTTGGTTCCACTGAGGTTGAAATGGGCCAGATTGTGTGTCTGTTGGCAGCATCCAGTTGACAATGTTGGAGCACATGCTCCATGCTTGAGTTACTGATCAGTTGGATTAAAATTGACAAAATGTATTCACTCATCAAACTGTCTAACTGGCCACCTGATAATTTGATTTGACTTGGGACGATCGGCTAACATAACTGCCTGATTGATAAACTAACAAATAAACTTGATTTATTGAACCACTGATTGGCTTGATTAATTGACTGATCAACCAGAACAAAATTTTTGATTAGCAGAAATAACAGAACTTATAAACTGCACTGACTGAATGATTGGTCAGTTAACACCTTGTCATTTTCCCAGATGATAGTGTTGAACTATGCTATGTAGAGAGGCATGGGAATCACAGGTGATTGCCAGTAATGATTGTCAAACATATACATTAACTAGGAAAAATATGCATGATGCGAGAGGGAGAGATAAATAGTTGAGATTACTGCTGCTAGAGCGCAGTTGCGTAAACAACCACCCACATTACAGCTGCAGTGAACTCAGAGATGCTTCTACGAATAAGGGATGAGTTTGGCTACCGCTTAGATGTTTGCCGAGCAACAAACTGCAGCCATATTGAATATCTATAACTTCTATTGTAAATATGTCAACTTTTGACCTTCCTCTCTCTCTCTCTTGTATGAATATTATCAATATGTAATGTATATTCAAGGAAATATACATGAGTTAAACCACCCACATTACAGCTGCAGTGAACTCAGAGATGCTTCTACGAATATGGGATGAGTTTGGCTACTGCTTAGATGTTTGCCGAGCAACAAGCTGCAGCCATATTTAATATCTATATCTTCTATTGTAAATATGTCAACTTTTGACCTTCCTCTCTCTCTCTTGTATGTATATTATCAATATGTAATGTATATTCAAGGAAATATACAGGAATTAAACCACCCACATTACAGCTGCAGTGAACTCAGAGATGCTTCTACGTATATGGGATGAGTTTGGCTACCGCTTAGATGTTTGCCGAGCAACAGACTGCAGCCATATTGAATATCTATAACTTCTATTGTAAATATGTCAACTTTTGACCTTCCTCTCTCTCTCTTGTATGTATATTATCAATATGTAATGTATATTCAAGGAAATATACAGGAATTAAAGTGTATCCATCATTTTGAATAGCCCTGTATTTATCAAAATTCTCATCAGATGCTTAGCTTCCAACTTTTCTGCAGTCATTTTCACTGGATAACAATTATTGAATATATTTATATTTAGCCGTAATATCCTTGCATTAATCATATTTTGTTGAATTATCTACAGGAATACTTGATGAAGCTCCTGTGAACACCAACCCTGAAGCAGTTCTCAATTATACTTGTGAATGTTTCCCGCCAAATACAACTTCTGTGAACTGGACCTCTGTCGGCACTTACAATGAAACTCATTTTCTGCCATATCTGATTGGCTATGATGATTCCAACACTAATTTATCAGGTGCGAGCAGTCTCCTAAACTTTTAAGTAATTTATTTGTTACAGGTTGTAATTGTTTACAGAACTGCTAGTAAGAATACAAATGTTTACAGAACTGCTAGTAAGAATACAAATGTTTACAGAACTGCTAGTAAGAATTCAAATGTTTACAGAATTGCTAATAAGAATACAAATGTTTACAGAACTGCTAGTAAGAATATAAATGTTTACAGAACTGCTAGTAAGAATACAAATGTTTACAGAACTGCTAATAAGAATACAAATGTTTACAGAACTGCTAGTAAGAATATAAATGTTTACAGAACTGCTAGTAAGAATATAAATGTTTACAGAACTGCTAGTAAGAATACAATGTTCACAGAACTGCTAGTAAGAATATAAATTTTCACAGAACTGCTAATAAGAATATAAAGGTTTACAGAACTGCTAGTAAGAATATAAATGCTTACAGAACTGCTAGTAAGAATATAAATGTTTACAGAACTGCTAGTAAGAATATAAATGTTTACAGAACTGCTAGTAAGAATACAATGTTCACAGAACTGCTAGTAAGAATATAAATGTTTACAGAACTGCTAGTAAGAATATAAATGTTTACAGAACTGCTTGTCAGAGAACACACATTTTTACAGAAATCTAAGGACACTGGTTGTCAGGGAACACAAATGATTACTGATCATCTTGCCAGAATCGGAAATGTTTGCTGATTTACTGGCCAGATAACAAATGTTTGCTGATTTACTAGCCAGATAACAAATGTTTGCTGATTTACTGGCCAGATAACAAATGTTTGCTGATTTACTAGCCAGATAACAAATGTTTGCTGATTTACTGGCCAGAAAACAAATGTTTGCTGATTTACTAGCCAGATAACAAATGTTTACTGATCTACAAGATAGAGAACATAAATGATTATTGATCTACGATTAGAAAAAAGTTTTCTAGTAATATCTAGTTAATAAATCTAGCTATTATTTTGAAAATAAATCGAGTTTTTTTCTGCCTCGCCAGCCTACAATCAGACATGGAATTTTGAGGATCTGTCCTCATCATTTGTTAATTGGAGCAGAATTCCAGCCAATGAATGTGCACTGTTTAGTGGATTCCCCATAACCATTGGCTGCGACACTCCCCACTATGTCGCAGATGCCTTCTTCCTGTCAGTGTTGCTATTTTTGGGAACTTTCATCATTGCAACTGGCCTTTCAAATGCCAAGACCAGCGCTTTCTTCCCTACCTACGTAAGTTCTGAAGCCAACACATGTCACATTGATTGCTATTTTAATTTACTTTTAATTTATAAAAAAAAAAAATGACCTTGGCTCCCAGGTCAACCCAGGCTAAAATGAGTAGAAGTAATTTTGACAGATGAGAGCTGACTGGTCAATTTTAAAAAAACATGGATCCAGCATGATATGCCTGGTGGCCACTGGCGTGAAGAGGGTCCTGTAACATTTTTTTACCTATTTATTTTAATATACTCCATTGCCAGGTCAACTTTAGCAGGTTCAGCTATATTTTTATTTTTATGCCACATGCAGGCCAAATAAGAAATTATGGTCTGTCCTTTAAATTCTTCCTAAAGCTGCATTCATTGTGGATCAATTTCATTTATAAATGTAGAGAATAGGACATAGAACTACTCTGAAACATAGCACAGTTGTGCAGGAGGGATGATCAGCACTTCCACAATATGCAGCTTTTTCTGAGAGAGGGAGCACTTATGTATTTATTTATTCTGAGTACAGTGACCCTCTCACCTTTCCTTCTCTCTCTCTCTCTCTCTCTCTCTCTCTCTCTCTCTCTCTCTCTCTCTCTCTCTCTCTCTCTCTCTCTCTCTTTCTCTGTCTGTCTCTGTCTCTGTCTCTGTCTCTCTCTCTCTCTCTCTCTCTCTCTCTCTCTCTCTCTCTCTCTCTCTCTCTCTCTCTCTCTCTCTTTTTGTGTCTATCTCTCTGTCTATCTGTTTGTATGTGAGAGAAAAACAGAAGGTGATTTCTGCGATATGATAAATGTTTTTCTTCCGTTTTCAAATGTTTGCTTGTGTTTTGTTGAGTAATTTCTTCTTGGGCTTATTTATTGTGATACTACGTATACACTTTAAATTTTTTAAATCCTAATCTCAGGTTCGTCAGACGATGAGTGACTTTGCTGTCTTGATTGCAATCGTCAGCATGGTGTTAGCTGATTATTTCATCAGCGTTCCCACTCCTAAACTGCAAGTGCCAACTAAATTCAAGGTTAGCCATTATATTATTTCACATGACAGAAGATTTCCCCAACATTTTTTGGTGGCTAGTTCCTAATTATCACATGTTTTATTTTCCGAGCTGTAATGTCCATTGCTATATTTTTATTTGTTTGTCAGAAATATAATTCAATATAATTGTCACTTGTATTATTACCATCCAGCCTTTGTCATTCTTCTATTCAGTATCACTTTAATATTTAAACTCCTATAAAGGCATAAAGTGTGAATTATTCTAATCTGGAATTCTATTGGTAAGTGTTGATTTATAATCAAACTTTTCCGTAACATTCTGTGTGCTCCATATGTGCAATCATTATTGTGATACTAACAGTGTAGACTTTAAGAACTCGAGAAAATATTTTAACTGTGAATGCCGCAGGTGTTCAGAATTGTTTTGTGTGTCTGCTGAATTAAAATCAGTGTAAGGGACATTTTTATGCCACTGTTGCATTAGAAATATTGTACTAGGCCTTTATTTGCATAGACCAATTGGAACTTGACAGGTGGTATGTCAGCTGGCCGCCTTTCAGTCCCAGAAACTTCCTAGTAGCCATTTTAGGCTGGATTGATCTGTGAGCCACGATCATTTTATAAAAATCCGCCTAGATGCAGATTTGAACTCAAGAGCTGCAGGTAAAGTGTCTAGCCAGTGCACCAGTTCTGCTAGTGTATGCTGAATCAGTATCTGGGACTAAGTGTCATTTTTTTAATTTACTATTTTTGTTCCCTCTCTTTTTTTCTTTTGGCACTGCTAAGGGATGGAACATGACAGCCGATGCTTACTGGCATGGCCCATGATGATAATAGTTGAACCTAATGTGGCATATGGTGTCAGAAACCAGGAAACCTAATTCAGCAACAAATGTCATCCAAAAAGACACAGATATCCAGCCATGCTGTTACAGAAATTATAATTGTTAAATGATCTGTTTTTTTTCTCACAGCCAACGCGAGATGACCGTGGATGGTTCGTCAACCCTATCAGCGACAAAAACCCAGTCTGGCTGATCTTTGCTGCTGTGTTGCCTGCTCTTCTGGCAGTGATTCTGATCTTCATGGACCAGCAGATCACTGCAGTCATTGTCAACAGAAAGGAGAACAAGCTGATGGTATGTTCATATCTCTGCACTTTCACAGCCTAGTTGTATGTTCACATCTTTGCACTTACTTTCACAGCCTAGTTGTATGTTCATATCTTTGCACTTTCACAGCCTAGTTGTATGTTCACATCTTTGCACTTACTTTCACAGCCTAGTTGTATGTTCATATCTTTGCACTTTCACAGCCTAGTTGTATGTTCACATCTTTGCACTTACTTTCACAACCTAGTTGTATGTTCACATCTTTGCACTTACTTTCACAGCCTAGTTGTATGTTCACATCTTTGCACTTACTTTCACAGCCTAGTTGTATGTTCACATCTTTGCACTTACTTTCACAGCCTAGTTGTATGTTCACATCTTTGCACTTACTTTCACAGCCTAGTTGTATGTTCACATCTTTGCACTTACTTTCACAACCTAGTTGTATGTTCATATCTTTGCACTTACTTTCACAGCCTAGTTGTATGTTCATATCTTTGCACTTACTTTCACAGCCTAGTTGTATGTTCACATCTTTGCACTTACTTTCACAGCCTAGTTGTATGTTCATATCTTTGCACTTACTTTCACAGCCTAGTTGTATGTTCATATCTTTGCACTTACTTTCACAGCCTAGTTGTATGTTCACATCTTTGCACTTACTTTCACAGCCTAGTTGTATGTTCATATCTTTGCACTTACTTTCACAGCCTAGTTGTATGTTCATATCTTTGCACTTACTTTCACAGCCTAGTTGTATGTTCACATCTTTGCACTTACTTTCACAGCCTAGTTGTATGTTCATATCTTTGCACTTACTTTCACAGCCTAGTTGTATGTTCATATCTTTGCACTTACTTTCACAGCCTAGTTGTATGTTCACATCTTTGCACTTACTTTCACAGCCTAGTTGTATGTTCATATCTTTGCACTTACTTTCACAGCCTAGTTGTATGTTCACATCTTTGCACTTACTTTCACAGCCTAGTTGTATGTTCATATCTTTGCACTTACTTTCACAGCCTAGTTGTATGTTCACATCTTTGCACTTACTTACACAGCCTGGTTATTTCACATCTTTATTCTTACTTTCAGCTTAAGTCAAATAAAGACCATTTTTCCACGCCATCAGGTGTATTAGGCATATAGGGCTAGACCCATATTTTACAGATCTTTGCACTTACTTTCACAGCCTAGTTGTATGTTCACATCGTTGCACTTACTTTCACAGCCTAGTTGTATGTTCATATCTTTGCACTTACTTACACAGCCTGGTTATTTCACATCTTTTTTCTTACTTTCAGCTTAAATAAAGACCATTTTTCCACGCCATCAGGTGTATTAGGCATATAGGGCTAGACCCACATTTTACAGACCACTTGGCACTGTGTGGGTAATATGGTAAGAATCACTCCATCTGCCGGGACTTTTATCTGGTACCCACTCAAGGCTGGATGGACCTGGAAGCCAAGGTCATTTCTGAAAAAAAGAAAAAAAACAGTCTAGCACTGTTGACATTTGAACCCAAGACCTTCATATCCACAGGTAGACACCTAGCCACTACACCACGACTGCTTCCACTTTCAGCTATGAGTGGCGTATATTTGTAAATTTACATGCTGTAGTAAAACCAAACTGTAGTAGCATATATATTTAATTAACTGAATACAGAGAAATAATATCTTTAGTGTAAGAAATGTAAATTGTAGGGTTCACACATACATGCATATAAATTGAGTCGGTAAATATGCACAAGGAAATCTAGGCTAGCTTCAGTCTAACAAGAGTTGATTGTCTCATTAGGCACATAACATCTAATCTTTATCTTTGTGCTAGACTGTTTCAGAATTTGATACAGTGAGTTTGTAAATTATCTTGTGGACAATTGGTGTTACTGTGACTGATCTGACACTGGCCATGAGTTATCTCACCAGTTTCATGTAAGATACATATCATATGGACAGTTGTAGATACTGTGACTGGTCCGACACCAGGCAGGAGTGATATCTCATCAGTGGCATGTAAGATACAATCATGTGGACAACTGTGGATACTGTGACTGGTGTGACGCCAGGAAGGAGTGATATCTCATCAATTCAATGGCATGTAAGATACTATCATGTGGACAACTGTGGATACTGTGACTGGTGTGACGCCAGGAAGGAGTGATATCTTATCAATGGCATGTAAGATACTATCATGTGGACAACTGTGGATACTGTGACTGGTGCGATGCCAGGCAGGAGTGATATCTCATCAATGGCATGTAAGATACTATCATGTGGACAACTGTGGATAGTGACTGGTGTGACACCAGGAAGGAGTGATATCTTATCAACTATGTGGACAACTGTGGATACTGTGACTGGTGTGACGCCATGAAGGAGTGATATCTTATCAATGGCATGTAAGATACTATCATGTGGACAACTGTGGATACTGTGACTGGTGTGACGCCAGGAAGGAGTGATATCTCATCAGTGGCATGTAAGATACATATCATGTGGACAGTTGTAGATACTGTGACTGGTCCGACACCAGGAAGGAGTGATATCTTATCAATGGCATGTAAGATACTATCATGTGGACAACTGTGGATACTGTGACTGGTGTGACGCCAGGAAGGAGTGATATCTCATCAATGGCATGTAAGTTACTATCATGTGGACAACTGTGGATACTGTGACTGGTGTGACGCCATGAAGGAGTGATATCTTATCAATGGCATGTAAGATACTATCATGTGGACAACTGTGAATACTGTGACTGGTGTGACGCCAGGAAGGAGTGATATCTCATCAGTGGCATGTAAGATACATATCATGTGGACAGTTGTAGATACTGTGACTGGTCCAACACCAGGAAGGAGTGATATCACATCAGTGGCATGTAAGATACTATCATGTGGACAACTGTGGATACTGTGACTGGTGTGAGGCCAGGAAGGAGTGATATCTCATCAATGGCATGTAAGATACTATCATGTGGACAACTGTGGATACTGTGACTGGTGTGGCTCCAGGAAGGAGTGATATCTCATCAATGGCATGTAAGATACTATCATGTGGACAACTGTGGATACTGTGACTGGTGTGACGCCATGAAGGAGTGATATCTCATCAATGGCATGTAAGATACTATCATGTGGACAACTGTGGATACTGTGACTGGTGTGACGCCAGGAAGGAGTGATATCTCATCAATGGCATGTAAGATACAATCATGTGGACAACTGTGGATACTGTGACTGATGCGACACCAGGAAGGAGTGATATCACATCAGTGGCATGTAAGATACTATCATGTGGACAACTGTGGATACTGTGACTGATGTGAGGCCAGGAAGGAGTGATATCTCATCAGTGGCATGTAAGATACTATCATGTGGACAACTGTGGATACTGTGACTGGTGTGACGCCAGGAAGGAGTGATATCTCATCAGTGGCATGTAAGATACAATCATGTGGACAACTGTGGATACTGTGACTGGTGAAACGCCAGGAACGAGTGATATCTCATCAATTCAATGGCATGTAAGATACAATCATGCGGACAACTGTGATTACAGGTCTGATGACAGGGAGGAGTGATGTCATCATTGTCATGTATGATGCATGTGATGAAGACAATGATGATGACTTCTTACTCCTGTCCAGGCTGATGGATGTAGCGGTGCTGCTGTGAGCTGCCAGACATGAATATTTCATGAAGGGTGCAGTATGTTTGATTAATCAGCACAGAGTTTGTGGGATCAGTCATTTTACACTTGTAGGGCTACCAATATATATATAAATTTACCAGTAGCATGCAGTGGCAATAAACAGGCATCTGAGTTTCTTAACAACATTCACTGAAGATGGTAAATTAGATAAAGAAATTAACATCCAAAGCGGCAAAGCACACTTGGTATTGGGACAGGTAGCCCTTTTCTTACAGCCTCTGATCAGCGCAGAGAAACATCTTATACAAAGCCTTTTCATCCCCACCCTATGCTACCAGTGCCAGACATGGTACTGACAACAAATCATAAATGGAAATTACTTACCATGGAAATGAGATGTCTGAGAGAGGCTGAAGGAGTGATCAGAAGAGACTAAATCAGGAATTGGTCATAAGAGAAAAAGTGGGCACAGAACCAATTCTAAATTACATATAAAGACAGCAAATTGAATGGTTTTCCCACTCAGAGAGAATGCAATGTGACGCTGAACCATAGAAGGCATACCCTAAAGGATGAGAAGGAGGTAGACCAAGAACAAGATGGAAGGATAAAATCTAAGATGCTCTACAAGAGCATGATATGTCTATGGTCGCATTGGCCAAAATGGCAAAAAGCAGAATCTTGTATCCCCCTTGACACTTTAAGCAGTAAAAGAGGAAGTGAAGAAGAGGGAGCTACTGAGGAAAAGATTGCAGCACCTGGATCTGAGCAGAGTGCTGTAATAATGGTCTACCTAAATCACCAGTCTTTAACTTTTAATGTTATATTTTTGACTAGATATTGTTAATAATTTTATTACAAAATTATCACATTGTCACAATTATAAATCAATCTTTCTAATTCCACGTCTGATGTGGAGAGAAACAGAGTCCGTCTGGTTTCTAGGGCCGTTGTGGAGAGAAACAGAGTCCGTCTGGTTTCTGGGGCTGTTTTTGAGAGAAACAGAGTCCGTCTGGTTTCTGGGGCCTGTTGTGGAGAGAAACAGAGTCCGTCTGGTTTCTGGGGCCTGTTGTGGAGAGAAACAGAGTCCGTCTGGTTTCTGGGGCCTGTTGTGGAGAGAAACAGAGTCCGTCTGGTTTCTGGGGCCTGTTGTGGAGAGAAACAGAGTCCATCTGGTTTCTGGGGCCTGTTGTGGAGAGAAACAGAGTCCGTCTGGTTTCTGGGGCCTGTTGTGGAGAGAAACAGAGTCCGTCTGGTTTCTGGGGCCTGTTGTGGAGAGAAACAGAGTAAACTGCCCCTAATAAACCTGTCATGAAAGGCAACAAAATAATTATTTGCTAAAGCTGAATGTGTTAGGCCGGAAGGAACAGATATCACAGTCTAGCTGGGAATCACAGAACAGTTTGCCAAACACCTTTTTAACACAAACCGCAGAAGAAGAATTTTAGGCTCTACTGGCAAATTTGGCCGGTAAGCTGGACTGCTTCGGCCGGCTTAGCGGGGCTTAGTGGGAGTTATGTCCCTTCGCGTCCCTTCGCCAAACTCAAAACAAGTCGCGGAAAAAGTCACGAATCAAATGACATACTTACCTATCATCATCCGGGTGCGTGTAGGGCTGCGTAGGGTGGCGTCTAGGGTTACCTATCATCATACGGTTGCGCGTAGGGCTGCGTAGGGTGTCTATCATCATCATACGGTTGGGGTGTGGGTTAGGGGTGTGGGTTAGGGGTAGGGTTAGGGGTAGGGTTAGGGGGTAGGGGTAGGGTTAGGGTTAGATGATGTGAAAATATTCACGTAGGAGGTGGAAATACTGGCCGACAATCTGATGCTTGTGGGAGTGGCGCCACTGGAAGTGTGCCAAATATGACGGCAATAGCTCGCGGCGGCTGGTGCCCCAATCGGTGGCGGCGAATTGTCCGTGTAAGTAGCATCCACCGTCCGTCGACTGTTTGCGCATGCATGCAACTGTGCGCGATTGTAGGGAACTACGGCGTCACAATTGTCACATCTAACGCTACACCTAACCCTAAACCCTAACCCTAACCCCTAACCCTAACCCCTAACCCTAACCCTAAACCCTAACCCTAACCCCTAAACGCTAACTCCTAACCCTACCCCTCATCTATCTTACGCAAACAACCAACCCTACACGCAATAAGCAGCCCTACATGCAACCGTAGGACGATGATAGACACCCTACGCAACCCTACACGCACCCGGATGATGATAGGTAAGTATGCCGTTTGATTCGTGACTTTTTCCGCGACTTGTTTTGAGTTGTTTTGAGTTTGGCCAAGGGACATAACTCCCACTAAGCCCCGCTAAGCCGGCCGAAGCAGTCCAGCTTACCGGCCAAATTTGCCAGTAGAGCCGAATTTTAATATATTTACCTCCTTCTTTCTCCTCCTTCTCCTAATCTTTCCCTATATGTAACAACTGCAGTGTATCAGTTACTTGATAGTGTCTAAGTTACAAACTATTACAGAAAGTTATTAACTGAGCTGCAGTTTTTTGTTGAATTAAAACACATTTTACATAAATTTATTTGTTGAATTTTAACACATTACATAAAGTTCAATGACTAAGTCCCTTTCTGATAAATGGATTACAACACATTTCAGTAAGCTATTTCTTGAATTCTTCTTCTTCTCGTTTATCGGCTGTAAAGTCTAGCAGAAAGTTCAGGTTGTTCATCCACTTCTGGACTTTAGACTTGTTCCAGAACATCTGTTTTTCGGATCTGATTCATCTGTATGCTGATTATTGGTTCTTTGCTTCTCAGACAGATGCACTTCAACTTCAAAGGAAGCTCCCAGTTATTCAACTCTTACAACAGGCTTGTTAAGGGGGCAGTGGGTCTATTCTTATTTTCCCCATAATGGGGAGGGGGGGGGGGACCCACAGAACCCACACGGAGAATTTCTTGACATGTTATGGAAAGTTATTGGCTGATTTAAAACATTATAGAAACTGAAATAAATAAGTTACTTGGTAATGACATGTTATAGAAAGTGAAATAAATAAGTTACTTGGTAATGACATGTTACAGAAAGTGAAATAAATAAGTTACTTGGTAATGACATGTTACAGAAAGTGAAATAAATAAGTTACTTGGTAATGACATGTTACAGAAAGTGAAATAAATAAGTTACTTGGTAATGACATGTTACAGAAAGTGAAATAAATAAGTTACTTGGTAATGACATGTTACAGAAAGTGAAATAAATAAAGTTACTTGGTAATGACATGTTACAGAAAGTGAAATAAATAAGTTACTTGGTAATGACATGTTACAGAAAGTGAAATAAATAAGTTACTTGGTAATGACATGTTACAGAAAGTGAAATAAATAAGTTACTTGGTAATGACATGTTACAGAAAGTTAAATAAATAAGTTACTTGGTAATGACATGTTACAGAAAGTTAAATAAATAACTTACTTGGTAATGAGATGTTACAGAAAGTTAAATAAATAACTTACTTGGTAATGACATGTTACAGAAAGTTAAATAAAAAAGTGACTTGGTAATGACATGTTACAGAAAGGAAATGGCTACCACTTGGACATGTTTGTTGTGGCTATTTGCATCGCCATCTGTTCGCTGCTCGGTCTGCCTTGGTATGTGGCCGCCACTGTTTCAGCAATTGCCCATATCATGAGCTTGAAGAAGGAGTCTGCATGCACAGCTCCTGGGGAGAGACCCACATTTCTGGGAGTCAGGTAACTTCTTTTGCTGCCTTTTTCATTCCTCTTGTCAACTGAATTAAATGTGCCATCTCCACAAGGAAGGCTGGCTACAGTGTACCACTTTTGTCTTTGGTAATATTATGTGCTGAGGACCCAGTCTCTTTCATGGTGCAACTCTCATACAGTTGTTCCGAAACCACCAGAAAAACTTTTTTTAATCGTCAAGCACGGGGAATGAACTGTGGTACTTAAGGATCAGGAAATTGTTAACCACATTCACTAACCTCTGAGAATGGAGCCACTTTTGTCAGCCATCATTCAGCCAGGTGTCATCTCCACAGTTAACGTTGGTTACAGTTTCCTCCAATGCGCTCTATTTTTCACCCTGGACACTCTCAGACTGCTGCTTGTCCGTCTCTTAATGTTATTCTCCCACTTGTATCTTTGTCATGCCTCTTGCTTGCTTGCCTTCAACTTTCCCATCCAGTGTGGTTTTTATGAGTTTTATTTTTGTTAATATGCCCCCCCCCCCCCCCCCCCCCCCCGGCCCACTCTCTCTCTTTCTGCCTGTCTGTCTGTTGCTTTGATTTCTTTCTGCATTTCCTTGTGAACTCGACACTAGTGAGGGAACTGAGATCTTCCAGTCATTACCAAGACTAAAACCACCTGCCTTACATGGAGCAGTAAAATGCTGTGATCTGATCATCCATGGATACACTGGAGGGGAAACATAAGAGGAAGGCGCTACCTTACATGGCGGTGAGAATAAAATGACAGAACTGGAGAATCCTGTACAAGTGCACTTTGAAGAGGCAGGATTGAAGATATATGGCACATAATGATTTTGTTGTTTTTGTTTTAAAGTTTGTTTTCCTTCAAGATTGCATTTTGTAAATTTTCTGTAGAAATTCCTATACTTTTATGTCAAATTATCTGGCAAAATACAATATACTTCTTTTTATAGTCCACGCTGTGTGATGTTTACAGTCTTGTCTATCCACAGCCTTCTGAACCTGTGTACTATCAAACTGTGTCAGCATCTTCTGTCTGTTTCCCTTTGCCCCCTTTTCCCTTTAACTTTTGCAGTCAAGATATGCTCCAGCTTTCTTTTTCTCATGACAGAACCAAGGAATACACTGTCTCCTTTTGATGTGAGTAATAAATTCTCTTTGCAAGTTAATTTCTTTCAAGACATTTTCCTCTCTCTTTTTTTCCCCCTGCATTATTGTCAAAATTTGTCTGTAAAAGCCAAATCTCTGCCAGTTCCGCATAATATTTCACCAAGTGGCTAAATGTCCAAGATTCACTTCCATAAATCAGAATCGTTACTAAATAGCGCCTAAAAACCTTTTTTCTGACTTGAAGTGACAAAGAGGGATATCCGTTGAATATTCATTATTGCAGTGTACTTACTTTGTATCATATTTACTAATTTGAATTTCTTCTTTTACATAACTAAAGTTAAGCCCCACCCTGGCTTTTGTGGAGAGCCCTGAATATGGCCGCTCCATGAATGTGGCCATAGCGACTGAAAGGGGTTTCTGGAACCTCTCCACGAGGGAATCCTCATCCGCATGGTAGCACTTTGTGTCTTCTTCTTCTTCTTCTTCTTCTTCTTCTTCACTTCCTCTTTTACCGCTGTGGGTGTCGAGGGAGATACAAGGTTCTGTTTCTAGCTCTTCTGGCTGCCTCGACCATAGGCACATCTGATGTTATCCTTTCATCTTGTTCTTGGTCTACCCCGTGCTCTACGTCCTTCTTCTCTTTCCATGTATGCTTTGTATGGTATGGTGTCACAAGGCATTCTCTCTAAGTGGGCAAACCATTTCACTTGCTGTCTTTGTATGTAATCCAGAATTGGTTCTGTGCCGACTTGTTCTCTTATGATCTCATTCCTGATCTTATCTCTTATGGTCACTCCTACAGCCCTTCTCAGACATCTCATTTCCGTGGTTACTAATTTTCTTTTATGGTTTGTTGTGAGTGACCATGTCTGGCACTGGTAGCACAGAGTTGGAATAAATATGCTTTGAATAAGATGTCTCTTTGTGCTGATTGGGATTGTCTTATGCTGTAAGAGGGGGGCTAGCTGTCCCAATACTTGGTTTGCTTTACTGCATCTAATGTCAATTTCTTTATCCAATTTCCCATCTTCGGTAAATGTAGTTCCCAGATATTTAACTTTGTGTCACCAGGTGGTTATCGCTTGTGAGATGTCCTGGTGGGGTACAACAAGCAAGCAACTAAAGTAAAACCTCCTTTTCACACCTTCAGGCTTATTGAGCATAGAACACTATATCTGTATTTTATAGACCAGTTGGCACTCAGTGGGAGTTATGATCAACATCATGCTCATCTTCTCTTACATGCTATGTGATTTTATTGTCTTATTATATGCTGTAATTGACAAGTATTTTCTTATTTTCTTGATCAGAGAGCAGAGAGTGACTGCCCTTTTGGTGGGAATACTGAGTGGTGCGTCCGTGCTGTTTACTACTGTTCTTCAGGTCAGTATAATCACTACACAGGTTTCTTCAGTTGCCTAGCAGGCCTGTCTGTTTCTGAGACTTCATCTAGTGCAGGGATGTTCAGTAAAGTTTACTCAGGGGCTAAATTTTAATGCGCGATCGAACCCCAGCATAGAAAGATCATTAATACGATAAAACTGGCAATGATTATTGGGCTTCTTGCTCGGCCTCCGTGTGTAGAGTTTAAACAGAAATATGACTTTAAAAATGTAAACAACAAGGTCACTAACATCTATTGGTCTAATATTTACAGTTTTGAAAATAATAGCCCCAAACATTGGCCTCCTGCCCTAGAATATGCCCCTCGTTTGTTTAAGCAGATGAACAAAATTTATTCATCTGGCTGATGGTCTTAACAAAAGCTTTTTTGGGGATTAGAGCTTTTCTTATGAGCATCCTGAAAAATCCTGTTAGGTCTTGTGCTTGCTTTCAGATTGTTTTTAATTCTTTAGTTAAGGTGAGGTTCGGCAGATGGCCATAATTGCACGCTGGACCTGTCCAAATGTACCGTGATCTCATTCATGATAAATATGTCAATGCATAGTGACTGACTGTCAGTTTGACAACTCTTCCTCATTAATTCAGAAATGTAATATCAGCCACATCCGACGCATCAGGCATCTGATGCTGTACTCAGTTTTCTAAAGTAGCAGACGCCTAATTGGTGATGCAAGCCGTCATGGAGGAGCACAGATGGCAATTAGTTTCAGAAGAATTTGCAGATTGTGACACATGTTTCGTTCATACTATGTACTCAATACACACTGACCAGAAACTACCCAGTCCTGCAGTGAGTGGAGGGGTGACTGATTAGACACATTTGAGGTTTGAAACTGTATTAAGATTACAGTTGTGGATGAATTTTTCTTCTTCTTCTTCTTCTTCTTCTTCTTCTTCTTCTTCTTCTCATTCTCCTCTTTCTCCTCTATTCTCTTTTAAAAAGACAGCTGGCCCATTCTGTTTACCTCTAGGCTGCAGTATCTGCACCTATCGGTCCAACAGCAGAAAATGCCTATTTGGTGGCTTTTATTACATGCTTGTTCAGTGGCAGTGACTATTCATTTCTCCTTCCAAAATTCAGCCATGGAACATGTGAGGTGAAAATTAACTTTCAGTGAGAGAGAGCTGCATATGTTTGTGTTACCAGACTCTCCACCAAGGAGGCAAAGATTACTAGCACTGTAAACTACTATCAGTGTCATGAGAGATGACTAACCATTGGTGTGAGACTGCCATTGCTCCCTGTAGTTACCACTTCTGATGTGTAGGGGGGCTTGGAGCCTGAGTATTTAGGGTCGCAGGGCTAGTTCTGTTGCCATGGCTTGTGAGGTTGGTATTTTATTTTAGCCCGTGACAGAAAAAAAAAAAAAAAAATCTTGAACCTAGTTAGTTAGTCGACAGATTATCCTCGGTCCATAAGTGCTGGGAATCCCACCTCAGTAAATCCTGCAGGATGTAGCGGCTAACGATGTTGGTTTATTCTTCTTCTTTGGCTACCAGCATAGTGTTCTCGTTTGACTACACCCTGTTTAACATGTTGTTCTTGCAGTCTGACCATGGTTGCAGATTCACAGTGGTCATTTGGTTATCGCAAACATCTCAACTCTCTTAGAGCATTCAGTATATCAGCCTGGTCCAGGGCTTGAACCGTTTTCACAGTAGCCTTACCTGCAAGTCTACCAGCTTGCTTATCTCCGTTCCCCCCCCCCCCCAAATTTTTTTGCTGCAAAATACACATCTATAGAGACTGGTATAACTGTTGGTTGGTTGACGGTCTGTCCTTCATTGGCAGATTAAAAACAAAAAGAAACGGAACAAGAAGAAAAAAGGTAATGCTAGATTTTTACAAATGTGCATTTAATGTGAAGCTTATATTTTTCTTTCCTTTTCGCTCCCCAGTTCATCCCTATGGCGGTTTTGTATGGTGTGTTTTTATACATGGGTATTGCAGCCCTGAAAGGCATGCAGGTAAGTGAACTGAGTTTGGTGACCTTTCATCATCATCATCCAGTAGGTTATTTGCAGAACATCCCTCCTATCATGAACCATTCAGTCTCTTGCCATGTTTCCTGCCTCGTGTATTTTCATGTCCAAGATGTCTCCGGTCACTTGCATCCACCTTCATGCCACCTCTTCCAGGAGCCATGTCTTCATTATTGTTTTGTCTGAATTGTTGTGTTTTCTATGACTGAACTCATAAAATATCTTAAAACAGACTAATGCTATCCCAAATCACTTTTAATAACCACACAGATTGACTACACAATATAGTTACTATAATTGTTTTAAAGTAAACTTAGGGTGTCTTGAACTTGACTATACTCGTACAGTCTCATAAGTTAATACGTAAACTATGCAATATTGAAAAACCAAACATAATTGATAGGCATATATATCCATTATTAAAACAGAAGACTACAAAATTATGTGTATATATCCAAAACATGATGCGGTTCATTCACTAATATGCCTTGATACTGAGATCTTTTAGAGCAGTGGTTCTCAACCTTCCTTATGACGCAACCCTTTAATACAGTTCCCCATGTTTGTGGTGACCCCCCGACCATAAAATTATTTTCGTTGCTACTTCATAAGATCAGTAAATTTGTGTTTTTCGATGGTCTTAGGTGACCCCCATGAAAGGGTCATTGGACCCTCAAAAGGGTCGCAACCCTGAGGTTGAGAACTGGTGCTTCAGGCTTCGCTACTGAAAGGAACATAATTTGTCATGATTTTGACATTTAAAATCTTTGTAATTTAATAAGTGAAACTATTTAGTTTGGATACCTTAGGGTTCCGCCAATCAGTTGACAGTTTTTTTTTTGTTTTTTTTTGGCAACATTGACAGTTTTTAGGCATACAGGCTTTCCTGACAACTAGTTGTGCCCCATTGGATAACTATGCATTTTTTATTTTTTATTGTAATTTTTTTTTTTTTTTTTTTTTTTTTTTGAACAGTACATTTTGGTAATATTTGTTTCAAAATATATCAATGACTCACAAATATATTGCAGTAGGAAAAGTGCATGTTTTTAAAATTTTACTCTATGTTTGCATGTATTGGGCCATGGCCTCCTAGTATTGTTTAATCACTGTGTTGTAACCAATCTCTTTTAAGCTTATATTGGTTTGTTCCTGTAGAATGATTTCACTTGCATCAATTATAATTGGATGTTTTATTCCCGTCTTCAGTTCGTCGACAGACTTCTGCTGATACTGAAACCAGCAAAATATCAGCCTGATTACACTTATCTGCGACATGTGCCCATCAAGAGAGTGCACATCTTCACTGCCATACAGCTTGTCTGTCTGGCTGTTCTGTGGGTCATCAAGAGCATTAAATCTTTATCAATTATCTTTCCAATAATGGTAAGTGATTTAATGTTCATCCTTTCAATACCAGAAGGTTCTCCATAAAAGCTCAATGAGACAGGGGAAATGACCTTCATAAAACAATGAGTACATTGCTTAAAAGAAACTAAATATATAGTGGAATGGCCAGATTTTGTTATGTTGTAGCCAATGTAAGTAAACACATATAATGGCAGGGATGTATGTGGGTGTGTGTTAAGAAGCCATCACACACCATGCATTATTTGGGTCTCAGAGAGTTAATTATGACAAAATATTTTTTTAGATTATGTTTTATCTTTTTAATTATTGCAAATGATTTATTTCCAGTTATGGTATGTTGTATTGTTCAAACTTGTGTCCACAATGTGGAGTCATATGATTTAGAGATGTATGAATTACTCTGGCTCAAACGTGAACCAAGCTTACTTTAATCTTAGTGCTGGCAATTTTAAAATGAGAACCATTAGTGTCAAATGATATAGTTTGCTTTGATTTTATGGTTAGTTTGATCACATGCATAGTCTTCGCAGATAATGGCAGCATCATGTTTTATTATGCGTGGATTTTAAAGGGAGTGTGTGTTTGTCTGTGAGAGAGAGAGATGAGTCACTGAGTTTCCATAATCGATCATATTTTCTGTTCTGATAAATCACTGGACAAATCACAGTGCTACCATTATTGATTATAACTCATTGGTTATTGATTAAAAAAATAAAATTTTCACCCCAAAAAAAATACATGTCTTCTTTTCAGTTATAATTCTCAGATCTTCGCTCAAATAGTTGTAGTTCTCATAACTTAAAAAAAAAATAGTCATTTCCAACAATCTTTAATTAGTTATAATGCTCATTTTTTCTTTTTAATGATTGCAATACTCATTTCTACCTGTAATATCTAGACAATTTTTGTGTCTGTACTTTAGGTCCTCGGAACATGTTTTGTTCGCAAGGCTATGGATTACATCTTCACCCAAAGAGAGTTAAAATGGCTGGACGATCTGATGCCAGAGGCTGCTAAAAAAGCCAAGGAAGATCAGAATCAGCTGGAAGACGATGATGAGGAGGTATGATTGTTCAGCTTCACTTCTTAAGCCTGTCAACCCCAGAAGTCTCAAAACCGACACGTCCCATTGTGTCCGATTTCCTAAGGAAGCCACATAACCAACTTTTCTAGAGTGATTTGTTGACAAGACACTCAGTTAATGTTATTGGCTATGTTCACGCAAACTTTCAGGAGGTCAGGATATTAATATGTTAACTAAAAATAGCATTCGGAGGGAGTGTCCTATGAACTAGATTTTTTTTAAGATATATTTTTTTAGGCTCTGGGTAATGTATTTCATAGAATGCTTCATTCTGTTTATTCATGACTCCTTTTGTACATCTTTGTATATACCAGGATTTTTTTTTTCTTTCTTTTTTTAAATGTACACACAGAAATTTACTAGTAATTTGCGTAAAACAGTTCCTCAAATAGAAAAAAAAGAAAGAATATTTAGTGGATTCCCATGTGTTTAGTCTTATTGTTTAGGGTTGCCAAAGCAACAGGGTTAAATGATAAATTTTTTTTTTTTATTTGTGCATGCACATGTGCGCACATAATTTGTATACCATGGTAGTGACAGATTCAACAAGCTCTGTGTTTTGTCACGTTAACATGATGCCACCTTAACATGATGCCACCTTAACATGATGCCACCTTAACATGATGCCACCTTAACATGATGCCACCTTAACATGATGCCACTTTTTACAAACATCTAATTTGTTTTGTGTTTCAACAGGATGAAGCTCTGCTCCGTGAAAACTACGACAAGTTAATGGTTCTCGGAGAAGGCAAATTTAACAAGGGAAACTACAGGTAGGTTTATTTCCAGTAGTGTGGATGGGGAACAGTTTTGTCTGTTTGATATTAGAGCTAGCAGCTTGTGTTAAGTGCCAGAACTACGCATTAGTTTCCATACACAGTGAAAATAAACATATTTTTATGAGGTAAAAATAAAGGACCCTTTTCCAGGCCTTTCAGGCGTATTGAGTATATAGGGCTAGACCTATATTTTATAGACCAAACAGCAGCTTGTGGGTGATGTGGTCAGCATCAAGCTGGCTGCCTTTACTTCCCAGGACTGTACCTGGTACCCACTCAAGGCTGGGTCGACCTGGGAGCCAAAGTCATTTTTTTTAAAAAGTCCTGCCCCCGTCAGGAATGGAACCCATGACTTTCTGATCCGCAGGCGAGTGTCTAACCTAGACCATGTCAGCTCCCTATTTTTAAACTATTTTTATTTTTATTGTTGTTGTTATGGATCCAGTGGTGCAGATGCTAACGCCTTTTGGCCCAGAGCCATGTAGTGGAATAAACATGTTTTCACAAGCTGTTCTTTTCCTCCGTACAAGGTGTTCCACTTGTCTGGTCTCGGAGGGAGTAGCATTCTTCTAGTCTCACTACGTTTTGGGCACTCACAAAGACCAGTTTCTTAGGGGTAGTTATATAGCTGGCACTCTGGGAAGTGTTGTGGCTGTATTCTGTTAAGATACATATTGAGGGGAATATGTTGTGTTCTGAGTTTGAAGATGGTGGCCTGGTTGCTCCTTTTTAGCGGGTTGATGGCTGTCATTAGAATGAGGGCCAGCCACATGTCTGTAAACCTCTCTTCCAGTGTCTCCCATGGCCCATCTGTTCAGCCAGGTCTCTTTGTTAGCTCTTATAAGTGCTTTTGCTGTCTGTAGATTTGTCGCTGTTTTTTCCCTCCAAAAAATAACAGGCTCTACATGACCACCATTGTTTTGAAAACACATTTGGTGCATGTCCCCCACTGCTAGTAAACATAAATAAGCACCGCTGGAGTTGGGCTTGTAATGGCGATGGTGATACATTTTTTTTTTTACCTCTGTATGGAAACTTATGGGACACACTCTAGTAGTGTTCTGCAGGTTAGTTTCTCTCTTAACCTGATTCTGACTTTTTGGCTTGACAACTTCCTGAGGTTACACAGGGTGTATGTTTAATGACTAGTTTTTAAAAAAAGTTGCTTCCTATTTTTGCAATCACCATCTATAGAGTTAATGCGACATATACTGCTGTATATATAGAACTACGTAATGATAATTTTGATAAATATATATATTTATATACGCCCGACTCTCTAGCGTAGTTGGCTAAACTGGACTGCGCGGTGACAGGGTGACGAACTCCTTGTGGTCCGGGCTCACGCCCGGGGGTAGGCAGAAAAGCTACATTTCTCCCAGATTTACGGCATTTATCATGGAATCAAGGCAGCAGGGTTGCGATATCCATAATACCGAGCCTAAGGGTTAACAACTCATGGCTTCTGGATACTTAAAAAAAAAATTTATATATATATATATATATACTATGTCTCTGCACTACAGCTCTAAACACAATTGATTCTAAAAGTATTAGAATTAGGTTCTGGAGTATGTATGAATGAATGAAGAATTGCCATAACAGCACTAGGGACATTCCCACATGTGCTCCATCCCATTCTTCAGTAACCAACCAAGAGTTGACATGCTAATACTGCCAGTTGCAACCTGACGAAAAGCCTGCATCTGTTTCCCTTTCAATGTTGAATATCTTCCAGAACCCCTACTTACCTCCCTTTGAATTAGTCTTTCAGTGTAAGAAAACACTGAAACTTGTCAACCACTGCAAAATGGAGACAGCAGAAGATATATTATTTGTAATTACATCAATGTTAGGCACAATATTGATAAATTATTTCTTAGAATATCAAAGAATCAAATGGTCAGGTCATCGCGGCAGAATGGAGCAAAATTAGCCAGCAACTAGACCGTATTATATAGGAACAGCAGGTTACAAGGCAAGAGGCTGACCGAGAAAAATATGGGTGTAGATGTGACACTAAAGAAACAATGTAACATTAACACAAGCTATGCAACTATGTAAAGACAGAAAACTTCATCAAACTCCTCCATGTGATGCTTCACAGCATAAGCAGTAGGACAAAATAAGTAGAAGTAATTACATTGTCAAAAGAATTATGGGTTATTTGGTTCAATTCTTGTGCATCAAGCTTTAGCTTTTTACATTAATCTGATTGTAAACTGTTTTAAACTTAACATAACAACAAATTTTTTTTTAACGCACACTAGTCCTACATTATTAAATCAATCTTCATTTGATAAGATGGATATCATGCTGGGCATCTTTACTTCCAGGAAAATTTCCAAATTACCCACTTTAGACTAGACTGGCTAGGGAGTAAAGGTTACTGGAAATATCTGTTTTCAAGGCTAGGAGCAGGACAGTGTGTTCAGCTGTAGTGCTGCATGGTTCCCGTGCTCCATGGCTTCTGTTTTGTGCTTAATTGTGGTAATATTGTTGGTCGTGCCTTCATTGTTCTCAGAGAAATATAGTCTGTTAACAATTTAAAAGAAAAAAAACTTTTTTCACTGATTTTGCCTGGTAACCGCTGACAAATTTGGTTCTGTTCTGTGATTAGACGAGGATCCATTGACACGCCAGTGAACATCAGCGAAGAAATGGCCAGGACAGGGATATGGCTGCAGCTGCGAAGAGATTCAAAAGTTCAAATTGATTCTGATGATGGACTTCATAAGTGAGTTTATTCAGATCACATTCGTCTCTGACTTTCATGATGTTATTTTGTTATCTTTTACTTCATTCTTCTGTTCCTTTGGCAACATTTAGTCTACAATACCATACTTTTTAGACTGTCAGTAGTTCGCTGTTTATTTGTTTACTGTTTAAAATTAACACTGTGCATCAGCTCACATCTGGCAATATCCAGTTATATCCAGGCAGTGGAACTTGGTCATGACTGGCTAGTAATGGGAAAAGAGCAAGCAAAAGAAAGACAAAATTTAGATTGTTGGCCTTATGGGCAAAGCAGGACAAGACATGATGTGTTATTCTGGTGATCATGTGAGAGGCAAAACACAATGGCTTATGCTCATTGACACAGCTCATAATGACAACAATGATCAGCTCATAAATTATAACTGACACTTCAACACTGTTATTACACATAAACATAAATTCATCGGAGGTATCTAAGTGGTTGGGAAGACTTTATTTGAAATGTAAAGGAAGATTTTTAATAAAAGAAAGCATATGATGTCACAACATGCAATAAGAAAGTTTCTGTGGAGGTTGTAACAACAGCTTCCTGATGTTTGAAGAATGGGTAAACACACATTCTCCTTGTGAGTTCCAGAGCCCCAGTGAGGGAAAGGAGAAGGGGGGGGGGGGGGGGGGTCCACTGCCTCCCTAACAAGAATGTCATAAGACTCGACTAATTAGGGCTTTACTTCAAAGGTGGAGTGCATACAAATAAGCAGATATGTAAAACTGGTGTGAGTACACAACTGGAACAAGGCTAAAGTCCAGAAGAAAACAAACGGCCAGAACTCCACTGAAATTTACAGCTGGTAAACACAAAGAAGAAGATACACACAACATATTGTGTTTATGAAAGGATCTGCGGAGCTTGGTTCATCTGGAAAGCCAAGGTTAATTTGGGGGGGGGGGGGGGGGGGGGGGGGGGGGGGGGGGGGGATTCTGACTCAATGCGGATTTGAATCCAAAACTTTTGGGCTGGCTTGCTAACATCTAGCCACCACAATGCCACAGCTCTTCATTAGTGAGAATGCTTCTATTCAGTTATTAACTCCTTGAGTCCCGGGGGTTTAGCATCAGAGGCCCAAGGGGTAGTCAAAAGAGATGTAAAATCGGCCCATCTTGCGTTCATTGGGCCTCTAGGCGGGACCCTATGAACGTATGATGCGTTCCTTGGGACTCAAAGAGTTAATTCTGTTTATGATGAATTTCAGATTGCAAAGATTTTGTTTAAACCTTTTTTTGAAATGTCTTTACAGTCGCAGCAAGAAGAGACACCATGAAAAGGTGAATGGACGTGACTCGTCCAACAAAGACCAAGAAGAAACAAGTGCCTTAAATGGGGAAACAAAGAAAACTACCTTTTATATGGGAGACGAGGAAAAAGCCTAGGCTAAACATTATGTGTTCCATTATTTATATTGTTTTGGGACCAGTATACACTTTTTTATGTAGTGAATTTCATGCAAAATATTAACTGAACATGACAAAACAATAAATGATCACAGGCTAATGTTTGTTTGGCAGCCAGTAGCAGTATGTAAATATCCTTAAACTTAAAATCTGGTATGTTAATCAATGTAATTTATGCTTATTTTTATTTATCAGGAATTTTTATTACATTGGTTAGGAAATTAGATGTTGACTTTTCCATCTAAGATGTTACTGTTTTTACTGTAAAAAATAGTAATGCATAAAAAATGATAGTTTGGACAATATTTTGTGATTCCCCAAAGTTATGAAATACTTAAATAAAGGTAGAGTGGAATACATTTTTTAAATATCCAAATAAGACTAGATAGTAAAACTTATGAAAACTTGTGGATCAAAGCAAACTTTTAGATCAGAGGTTATGGCTTATATTAATAAATAATTAATCAGAAAAGATGTTTCTATACAAGCAGTTAAGTATGGTGCAGGAAAATTTGAGTCAGCTTTACAAAATTGCATATAGTAGAAGATATTTCAATGATAAGCCTTCATCAGCATGCAAAAAAAAAAAAAAAAAAAAAAAAAAAAAACAATGATACAAAAGAAAGATGGAAATTACACTGAAATGACCATATATACCCTTTTACCCTAAGGACCTAAAAAACAATTTTTCAGACCCCCCCCCCCCCCCCCCCCCAAATTATCCTTAGAAAAATAACCATTTTATACATAAAAAAATAATCATATTATCATTCAAACCACAGATCTTCCCACAGTGAGGGAAGTAATCAGCAAAAAAAGATACAGAATAGAATAAAGTGGCTGACTTCTCTTGGGACCTGTAAACCAGTTATAATGTGAAACTGACTTGACCATGTGTCCAGGTCGCACAGTAACCACTGTTGCCAGTGAGAAAAATATGACTTTAAATTATCTATAAATTAAAAAAAACCCGCCTCCACTCTATTCTATTTATTTTTAAAGTAAAATTAGTTATCCCCTATCGCGCTGAACATTTGCGCAGGCAAAGACGCAATGAATTCTGTAAGCTAGATGTCTCATAAACAGTAATATGTAGTGAGTCGGGAAAGTGGTTTTTACTGAGAAATGGTACTAACCGGAAGTGTTAGTTTTGTATCTGCTTGAGAAGAAAGGGTTAAAGCATTATACTTTGGTTACACTTTTTCTTATTATTATTATTATTATTATTATTTTATTGACCTGATTAAGTCAAATAAGTTAAAGGAGCCTACACTAGCTGTGAGGCATATTGAATATTTTATACCAGCCCCATTGTTTTATGAACCAGTCAGGTCTCACTGGGTGTTATGTCCGACACTACACAGACTGCCTTTACTTTCCAGAAAATTACTTGGTGCCCATTTTAGGCTGATCAACCTAGGAGGCCAAGTTTGTAAACATTTTAAAAATCAGATGGAGAGTTGAATATAACCAGAGGCTGGCTGGCTTGTGTACTAGCCATTTTAGTTTTGCAACTTTCTCTGACCCTATTGCTGTAGTTGTAATATTACTTTTAATGTGTTGTAAGTAATCAAGAATATTTTCATGTATGCCTTCGTTTAATAGATGCACGAAGTGTAGAGAAAATCTATTTTCAGTATTCACCATACAGAAATTAAACCATCACAAATTAATTTAATGACTGTTTACATAAGTTGTAACCTTCATTTTTGAGAATTTTCTTAACTCATAGTGCATCAGCTTTTTTTTTTTTTAATCTAGACATTTGTTGCAATAAAGTTTAGAAGGATTTTGCATTAGTTTACATTTGTGTGGGAAAATCGTAATGAAGAATGCTCTGTTAGAAAATTGTTCTGCAACAATTGAGTACTCACCCAGTCTTCATCGAAGGAGAGAAAAGGTACATATGATGTGCATAATTAATTAACATTCATATATATCCACATAGGGTGAGAGGACAAAATGAATGTTTCAAATAATTTATTTAGGGGCATAAACAGTTCCAAGAGGTTTTAAAAGAGGCGGGAGACCGAAGACAACTTATCACTGACATCAGAAGAAGACAGTCATCATTTTTCAGCCATGTGATGAGAAGAGGGAAAATAGAACATGTTGTGACCACTGGAAAGATCTGTGGAAGGAGGGATAGAGGAAGACAACGAGAGAAGATGCTTGACAGTCTTGTTGCATGGCATGGAGGTGTGTCGGCACACGAACTGATACATGCTGCAGGAGATCGCGGATTATGGAGAGGCATGATCGCCCACGCCAGTCGGCAAGGCACCTGATGATGATGATGATGAAACAGTTCCATGTGATAGCCATTTATAGGACAGTGACACCATTTTTGAAATGTAAGTATGTGAATGTGAAAACTGTTCTTTACCAATGATATGCTGTCACTGTCAGACATTGATACTCTTCAGAAGACAGAAGAAATAGATTTAGGAACAATGATAGTCGGCAGAGAAACAATACTGAACTTCATCGATAGACAACAGATCCAATGGTCTGGCCATATAGCAAGATTGGCAACAGAAAGGGCACCACAGGGAGCAATGTTATACAGATAGAACAGAGCCAGAGGTCGACCATGCATAAGATGGACCAAGTAAATATAGGAAACACTGAAACTGCCCTAAAAATTAGTAAAAACAGGTGGTAAACACAGCCAAGCCACACTAACAGTAACAGTTCAAAAAGAAAATAAAAAACTATTTGATCCAGCTGAATTATTAGTATTTTTCCTTTTGTTTTCTAGAGGGACAGTAGATATATTTGTTTTGCTTATTTTCCATTTGATTTGAATTTGTAGTTTATTATTTGTTATGTTACAGTGCATGTATGTTTGTTTGTTTGATGAGCAAGTGTCTATTTTTAATGAAAATCAATCTTTAAATGCATGGTTGTTTGCTTTCAAAAATGTCATGTTATGTGTATTCTTATTTAATTTTTGGCATTTATTTTTACTGTTAATATGTACAAAAGTCAAGAATGATCATTTACATCCATTAACCAGAAGATGATAGCTTATAATTGATTAAACACATTTGTAATTTTGTTTTTTTCTGCTGATTATATTCTCATGCTTATTATAATACACTAGAGATATTTATTTTATAGATATTTTATAGATTGAGAGCATGCATCTTTCCCATTGCAACATACGCCTGTGAGACCTGGACACTCACTAAACAAGCGGAACAGCGCATAAATGCATTTGAATATAAATGTTACAGACAGGTTCTAAGAATATCTTGGTTAAAGAAAAGAACAAATGCATCCATACTTCAAGAGCTGAATATTGAAGAGGGTTGGCTAGTAAAGACAATAAAAAAAAGAAAATTGAAATATTTTGGTCACTTGAAACATAATGGAAGTCTAGAGAGAACAATAATGGAGGGGTATATGCCTGGGAAGAGAGGAAGAGGAAGGCCAAAGAAAAGATGGGTGCAGGATGTGGCAGATGATCTCCAGATGGGTGTATCAGACGCAGGACATCTTGCTCAGGATAGGAAGGTTTTCCGGAGGGTTGTTATGGCAGCGAGGTTCCGCGAGGGACATGCTACTGAATGAATGAATGAGAGATATTTATGAAATCAAAGCAATGTTACTACATTGTCAATTTGTACGAAGAAAACACAAACAATAAATTGCATAATCTATTGACTGGCATATTTCGCAGTATCTCATCAGGTGCACACTACAGTAATATTTAAGTGAATGAAGCAAATAAATGGATTTTTAAATTCTTTGTAAAAGATTAATTCTTTTATTTCATTTTTGGTTTGTTTGTTACTATAGTATGCAGCTAGAGATACAACACAAGATGTCAGGCAGAAGATGTGCAATCTATTATTTGTGTCTTCTTTATTTGAATATTTATAATAAATGTTGTTTTAGCAACACATTGTTATTTCTGTGAATTTTCTGACTCCTGTGAATTTACATTTATTGTCTGTATATTTAATTGGCTAACAATATTTCTTTTGTTAACAATTTTTTTTCCATAATTTGGACCCTCTGAGTTTTTTTATTTTTAAACTCAGTCCTTAAAAAAATATCAAGTTTAGAAAATAACATGGCAATTGATGTAATAACAAACCCAAGACATCTAGAATGTAGGAACAGATACATTGGGTACAACTGGCAAAGAAGAGTTCGTATATGAAAATATTCTTTCACAAAAATGCCAAAATTTATTTCCAAATGGCTCTAACAGAGAAACTCATCTCTCAGATGAGACTGATGGTTCAGTTTCTCCAGCACATTTGTTACCATTTAAATAATCCAAATCATGAAACACACTCTTTGACTCAGGAGTAAAGAAGTAACTGGGGCAAAAGTAAACAAGAAAAAACAATTATACACTGGGTTTGAGACAGAGAAACACTAAATGTGTCATTAAAGGTATGAAATAAAATTAAAAGTCATATAGTGATGTTCTGTGCCTCTGGTAATAGTTTAAAATGTTGACACAGGTTGCCAAGCCAGATAAATCAACCTTTGATTCATAATTTTGTACAGCCACTTTCTCAGTGATGTGTTTTTAGTGTATTTACTTCATAAAGTGAAGAGTAAGAATAATACTTTCATAATATTTACTGTGTGGTTGTGGGCATATCTACTGTATATTGTCAGATATATGTTATAAGTAAAATTTCTTAGAATGGAGTTGAGACATTTAAAACAAAGAGTTCAATCACTATTGCTGTTTGTATATACAATTCTTATGTTTAATGTAAAGAGTGTTGTGAAAACTGGATATGTGAAAAGATTTGTGAATTTTCAGATCATATATATTTCTTGTTTGTTTAATACGTCTAAGGCAGTAATTATTTCTCCATATGATTATTGGAATCTTTATGGTATTTATAAAGAGACGCCACCTGTAACAGCGTACTCTGTATTCTACAAGAGAATGGAGGGTACTGAGAAGCCTGGCAACCCACATGAGTTTAGACACAAAATAATGTCAT